GAATAGTTTGGCAGGAACTGTTTGGGAACAACCAGGATTTTTAGGAACAGTTTGGTGGGAATTGGGTTCAACAACAACCAGGATTCCTAGGCACATTTTGGTGGGAACTGTATGGGAATGACCAGGATTTCTAGGAACAGTTTGGCGGGAACTGTTTAGGAACAACCAGGATTTCTAGGAATAGTTTGGTAGGAGTGGTTTGGGAATGACCAGGATTTCTAGGTACAGTTTGGCAGGAGTTGTTTGGAAACAACCAGGATTTCTAGGAACAGTTTGGTGGAAGTGGTTTGGGAACGACCAGGATTTCTAGGAACAGTTTGGCGGGAGTGGTTTGGGAACGACCAGGATTTCTAGGAACGGTTTGGTGGGAACCGTTTGGCACCGCGCAGCGTTTGCCGTTGGCCGCCATCCGCAAAAGGCCTGGATTTCCCCTGGATTCGGGATGCACCCCTGGAAGCAGAGCCCCTACCTGGGTCAGGTAGTAGACGTGGGTGTGGGGCACGGCCTGCAGGGTGTTGACGGCGCCGCGGAAGGTGTAGATCTGCTGGTGAGGGTCTCCCACCAGGATGATCCCGCACGTCTGGGACAGCACCACGTCCACGATGGCTGCGGGAAAACACTGGGAATGCTCACGGAGCAGTCACGGAGCAGCCCCGTCACCGACCCAGCCTAAGCAAGCCAGGGCTCGGTCCTAACCTTACACCCGGGTTTAAGTTGAATTGTGCTGTTTCTCGGGAAAACCCTCTGGGAATGCTGGAGCTCTGGCTCACCTGGAGTGCAATCCTGGGCTTCGTCCACGAAAACGGCATCGTATCCCGACAGCTTGGGCTTGCTGAGCTGCCACAGCTTCAGGTATCCTGAGGGGAAAACACAGGGATGGCAGGGAAAAGGGAATTTCCTCAGCAGAAACCCCCATGATCCTCCAAATAAAGCACTTTTTTCCTTGGTTTTTATTTTTTTTAATGTTTCTGGTCCTTAAAATAAATCCCTTTTTTCCCTTTGTTTTGTTTTTTTTTACTTTTTTTTCCTAGTGCTTCTGACCCTTAAAATAAATCCTTTTTTCCCTTTTTTTTTGTTTTCATTTTTTGTTGGTTTTTTTTTCATATTCTGGTCCTTAAAATAAATCCTTTTTATCCTTCTTTGTTGGTTTTTTTTTGTTTTTTTTTAATGTTTCTGGTCCTTCAAATAAATCCCCTTTCCCTTTTTTTTTTCATTTTCTTTTTTCCTTTTTTTTCATGTTTCTGACCCTTAAAATAAATCCCTTTTCCCCTTTTTGTTTTGTTTTGTTTTTTTTTTCTTTTTTTAACGTTTCTGGCCCTTTAAATAAATCCCTTTCCCCCCTTTTTTTCTTCCATGTTTCTGGCCCTTAAAATAAATTCCTTTTATTTTTTTTTTTAATTTTTTTTTAATGTTTCTGGTCCTTAAAATAAATTCCTTTTCCCCTTTTATTTATTTTTTTTTTTAATTCATGTTTCTGACCCTTAAAATAAACACCATTTTCCCTTTTTTTTTTTTCAACTTCCAGCTGATTTCCAGACCTCAAACTGGAATATCTTTCCAACCCGCACGTATTTATGATGGAATACCTTAAAAATCTCCCAATATTTGTCCTGGTAGAAGCACAAATTCATTCATTTTATAAAACTTTATGGATGAAAAAATCCAGAGTGATATTCCCTGCTGAGCCAGGGGCAGGAGAAAAGAGATTTTTTTTAACCCTTTTTGATGCTCAGCCGGAAGTAGGAAAAATAAATTTACTTATTTTCCCACCCCAGTTCTTTGTAATATATTCTTTATAATACAAGAATTTATATTTTTCTTCTCTTTTACCATCACAAGTCATCTTGTATCTCTTCTCCACATCCCCATCCAGTTTTTTCATGTTGTGCCATATTTCTTTAGCCTCTTCCACGTTGATCTGTAGAGGGAAAAAACACAGGGATAATTTGGATAAATTGCTCTGAGCAGACAAATATTCCAAACACGGGAGATTTTCTCTGAAGTCTTTCGGGGTTTTGATCTAAAATTACCTAAAAAGATGTTTATTTTCTTTATTTATATATATAAAGAAAATAAATATATAAAAATATGTAAAATTATAAATAGTAAATAAAATATAAATAGAAATACCATATATATATATCTCTAAAAATATAACTATATGATAATATATATAATATATAAAATATAGCATAATATAGTAATGTGCAATATTATATAATATGTAATATATGTAACATTATATAATATAAAATACATAATATAAAATATACAAATTATATATTGCATAATATATAATATTAATATAACAATATAAAATATATAATACATATAAATAATAAATAAAAATAAATTTAAATATAAATATATATATCACTGTTCAGATACTGGTGTAAATATAACATTAATGTTTTGTTTATTTATATTGTATTTATTCATCATATAGAATATATATTTATTTGCTTATAAAATCTTAATATAATATGATTATCAAAATCTAAACAGAATCTAAACAAAATCTAAACAGAATCTAAATAGAATCTAAACAGAATCAAAATAAAATTTAAATAGAATCTAAATAAAATCTAAGTAGAATCTAATTAAAATCTAAATGGAATCTAAATAAAATCTAAGTAGAATCTAAATAAAATATAAATAGAACCTAATTAAAATATAAATAGAACCTAATTAAAATATAAATAGAATATAAATAGAATATAAATAGAATATAAATAAAATATAAATAAAATATAAAGGGAAGAAACACCTGCCCTGGGCAGAGCCAGAGATAAAATCCTGCCTCAAACCAGCTCTGCAAACAGGGAGAATGGGACCCATTTCCTTCGGATTTGTCACCAGTGGGAAAAAATATTTGGAAGTTAATTCCTAAAGGTGAAGCCCAAACACCCCTGAGTTGGGGGAGATGGGAGACCATGGAATTATGGAATGACTCAGGTTGGAAGGGACCTTAAAGCCCAGTCAGATCTTCCCTGGTTGGAATTCCTTCTGTCCCACAACCTTCTGTTCCTAAATCAGTTATCTCAGAGGTGTTACTGTTGCTCCTGACGGGCTCAGCCTTGGAATCCCGTCCTGGAGCAGCTGGAATCTGCTCCACGGGACAGGGGGAAGCTTCCGGCAGCTTCCAAGAGAAGCCACCCACACATCTACCAAACCCCAGCCACAGAATTCCAGCCCGATCCCAAAATCTCACATGCTTTTCCATGGGGCTGATGAGCCTCCTGTCCCCGTGGGTGTTTTTGAACCACATGGGCACATGCTCCTCACAAATCTC